CCATGTGGGTCAGCTCCCTGGCCTGGGATCAAATTTGTGCTGCAGTGGCTTAGAAGAGCTTCATAATGAGCTTCATAATGCGGTGTTTTAACCCATTGCACCACCAGGGAGAGCCCAGTTCTTTTTATTTATTTATTTTTTTAAGATTTATTTACTTATGCATACAGAACCGGGATACAGGCCAGAGGTACAGGGGCAGTGAGAGGATTCACCAGAGACAGAGTGGGAAGCAGAACAGGTAGATTGACAAGGTACACTGCTGAGCGGAGCAGTGGGTAAAGCAGGAGAAGCCTGCTTTACTATATAGGTCACCTCCAGGTCAGGGATCGAACTAGCACTGAAGCAGATATGGCTACTTGCAGTGCTGCGTCCTAACCCTTTGCACCACCAGGGAGGGCCCTCCAATTCTTTATTTAAAGGATTATGGTGTTACAGACTTTTATAAATATATCTTAAATGCCTGATAGTTTTCTATATTCTTACAAGAATAGCTTTTTATTAACTTTTCCTTTGAAAACTGTCTTATAGTTGTTCACCATGTCCCTTTTCTACCCGCCTTTAGGTCGGAATGATGAGTACATTTGAGGAATCAGAAACAGACAAAAATCTTTATTGGTGGTTAGGATGACAAAGTTCCAAAAAGTAAACATAATTAACAGAATCACCACAAGTACCAGAGGAGGTGCTCCGGTATCAGTAGAAGGCACTGATCCTAACACAGAAGAAAGCTGGCGTGGATCCTTACACACAGATGCTGGTTTAACCCTGTCAAATGAACATGCTGTTATTTTGAGCATGAAAATTTGTAGGCGACAGTAGGAAGGACTGAAGACTCTTCTCTCAGGTCAGACAGACAGACCCTTCTGCAGTATTATTACAGATGACATGAAGGTAACTCCGATGGCAGCAATGACGACAACCCCAGTATGAAAACACACTAATGTCACAGCAACAGCCTGATGGGATCTATAAATCCTCAGCATTCCCTAACCCAGCTGACAGTCCAGGTCCAGTACTTGGATGGGTCACAAAATCCATTGTCACAAAAACAAATCCACTACTTAGGTATCGCTACAACATTCCAGCCCTGGTCTTCTCAAACTTGAGAAAATGGTAAATACTATTGCATCATTTTGGAGATAGAATCAAATCTAAGAAGAAAAATATACTGTTAAAAAAAACATACACATGGGTACTTTTTGTTGTATGGCTTTTAAAACCCTGTGTTCGTCTATAAAAGTGTTACAAGAAAAGTTAACAAATGGGAATTTTTATTTAAAAAAAAAGAGGAAAATATTTTACATACCAAAATTAGTTTTAGACATTAAAATCAAAGTTTATGCAAATATATTTAGAAAACTGAATTATATCATTAAGACATTAAAATACAGAACACTTTTTACAAATTAATATTGAGTATGTTAAATAACTATATATTAAAGATTTGATTTGAAAATTAGAGCTGTTTCAAAATACTATGTTTTGTGAAATGTCATTCATTAAGAACTCAGGAAAACTGCCAAATCACCATGCTGTTCTTTTCCTAGGGTTGCATGGTACTCTGGGGGATGGGAGGCCTATTCTGAGTCAGGAGAGTCATTAAGTAATTTCAAAGAAAAATAAAAGTAAAGCATGGGTACAAATTAATTCACTTCCTGAGACTGACATGGTGTTCACTGGCTTGAATAAAACACAACATTGTTTTTAAATATTGAGGAGACTATTTCCTGGCATCATCCATTACACTTTCATGTTACAAGTAGGTCATAAAGATAGGGCTTCAGGGAGAAAGAGAATGCAGATGAACCGCTAAAGAAACAGAAAGCTCTCGTCAAAGACTTATTTTCTTTTTTATGAGGCACAAACAAAAAAATGGATGAAACATAACAGCCCTGATTATTGATAACAAGGGAGTGCATATCTAGACTGTTATGAGGTTTCATGAATGATCCATAATACAGCATTATTGCTACTGAGTCACCAGACAATAATTGTCATTACCAAAGTTATGGTTTAAAAAGTTCACACTGTACTAGTCTTTGTACTGAGTCCTTTCCCTTTTCCATATACAAGATGATGGACAGTCGTCTCTCCCCAGTCTCATGACCAACTGAAATCTTCATTATAATGAAGGCAGTGAACAGAAAGGAGACTTCTGGTACCAATTATTTTTCTGTGGAACAGCTTGAATACACAGTCAACACGATGTAATACACAAAAACAGTGTATTACAATAACTGTATAATGGAAAAGCAAGTGAGTTTTCCCAGAAAAACAAAACAAAAAAAACCCCATGACTCCTTTTCTTACCCCCACAAAAGTACCATATACAGAATTTCTACCTCAATTAGGAAGCTCCCAATGCCACATGGCACTCCTTGAGCGTGACCACAGCCCAGAAGGATAAAGTCAGTCTCTGCTGTTTTTACTACCCAAACTCTGCTCACCACACTTTATAATTCTTCTTTAAAGCCTTTTTGTGTCTCCTGTCCGGCGCTGTCTTCCTCACTGGGTGCCAACCACGTGAAATATACCTTCGCTGGATCAATGTTCCAGTGTTTGTGGAATGATATGGGAACTTGGTGAGAAAGGTAGTCCTTAGGGTAATCCACGGGCCGAGCCTGTGGGAGGAGAATATAGTAATATGTTCTCTTACCCATCAAATGCCATTTTGCTTCAGAAGTTATCACTTTCTTGGGGCCACAATGTATGAAGTGCCTGCTTTCCTTCATTATTTAATACTGGTTGTGGGAACCTATAGGTAAGGAGGAAAATCTTTTCCACCCACTTCCCTTTAACTCTAGGCTTTTTTATTTATTATCTCAATTACTTTAATATCCCAAATGTTACTGTCATTTTCTGTCCACTGCACTAGCATAGAATCAGGCAGATGGCTAAGACAGCAACTTGCAACCTCTTTCTACCTAAATATTAGCCTGGCTTCAAAAGTGCCCATGGAAATTTCAAGTAACCCAAAAAGGCTGCAAGAAAGCCTAAAAAATTGTCATTATTTTGAAATTCTCTAAAACTTGATGAAATTTTAAACAGAATTATTAACCTAAAGACCTAAAAGGTATGGAAAGAAACTGATACCAGACACTATTTTGTTTGCTCTAAGCCAAGCATCCATGATTTCTCAATGCTTATCCTGTTTATAAATTACATAACCTATCTGTGCTATACAGTAACTCAGTAGGTCACCAATACTAAAACAGTAAAAGTAGATCTATTTTATTTTTTAACAAAGATTTATTTCTATGTATGCATACAAGAACTGGAGTGTAGGCCAGAGGTTGGGAGGTAAGAAGATTCAGCAGAGACAGAGTAGGGAACAGAAGAGACAGATTTACTGAAATACATTGCTGAGTGTTATAGCAGGTGAGATAGGAGAGGTCTGCTGCACCATGTGGGTCAGCTTCCTGGCAAGGGATAGAATTCATGCTGCAGTGGTTGGCGGCGATAGCTTGATAGTGATGAGATTTAATCCCTTGTGCCACCAGGGAGGCCCAAAACTAGATATATTTTTTAAACAAGTTTTTTCTAGCCCCTTTTTATTACTTTTTACTTTTGAATATGAATATTTAATCCCCCTTCAGTGGTTTACAGAATACCTTCATCCCATTCAGTCCCTCAAACAGTCTTGCAATGTGGTTAAGAGTATCATGATTCATTCCCAGCTTAAAGAATAGCAAACCAGAGTTTACAGAAGTTATCACTTTCTTGGGGTCACAAGACTAGTAAAGGCTTTAATGGGGGAATGGGCAGGTGCACTGTGCCTTGGGCCCCCACACCAGTATGTCCTAAGCATCCTGGCCTCTTTGGGAGGTTTTATCTGATGGGGGTACAAATAATACTGCTTAGATGGGTGTTCACACAGTAATATCTGTGTAGAAGACTTTATGCTGACTTTTAAAATCATAAAAACTTTCATAATGGCTATTTTGTTGTCCTTTAAAAATTCTGTGTTTCCTATGGAAACAACTCAAATGTTCCAAAACAGATGACTGAATCAAGAAGATGTGGTGTGTGTGTGTATATGTGTATGTGTATGTGTATATAGTGAGATATATATATATATATAAAATATATATAGTGAGATATATATATAGTGGTGTATATATATATATATATATATATACACACACACACACACACACACATACATATACACACAATGGAGTACTACTCAGCAATCAAAAAAAACCCCATGCCATTCACAGCAACATGCATGGAGTTGGCAGGGATTATACTCAGTGAAATAAGTCAGAAGGAAAAAGAAAAATATCAGATGGTTTCACTTATAGGAGGAAAGAGGGGAACCAAATATGGGATCAGAAAAAAATAAATAAACAAAGTGCCAAAATTAACAGGCAACTATAAGCCAGAGACATTCTGCAGGGAAGAGGGAGGGATCAAAACAGGAGAGGGAATAGCACCAGGAGCTGTGGTGATGGTGCACAGGAGAATTGGTGGTGGGAATTTTATGGGGACTACACCTGAGAGGAAAAAGCAAACTGTACAAAAATGAACAATGATGTAAAATATATAAACAAATAAATTCAAAGAATTTAAAAAATTCTATGTGCTTAGGGAGCTAAAAATTTAGAAGAGAATTTTAAAGAAAAAGACAGAACAAAACCGGAATAGTCTACATGACCTGGGATGGTTTTAATGTTATCTGAGGTGTTCATATATTATGATGTTTATTGGCAAGGTGCTCTAAGACTCACTGGCAGTGAAGAAAACTTAGGAGAAAAATACCCTCAACTCAGTTCTCAGATAATTTCACAATGGTCCCAGAAGAAACAAAAACATTGGGGAAACAAAAAAGGTTCCTGTTTTTTCACATTTAAAAATGAATTATTTGCAGATACAAATGCATTTAATATGAAAAAGGAAAACCATATGAAATCCATATTATTTTCAGATACAAATGCATTTAATATGAAAAAGGAAAACCATATGAAATCCATACATCGTTCCTCTATTGATACAGATTCTAGAAGTAATTAATGGCATCTAAGGAACAGTTGGCGTGGCTTATCGAGCATTAAAATATACTAAGCATTATGAGGTAATGGAAAAGAATAAGACAAACTAGAAAAGTAGAATGCACCCAAACAGGCATTGGTAACATCCAAAAGTCTCTAGTAATCACACCTCTGGGCACAAAACAATGCCAGAAAGAAATCCTGATCCAAACAGGCACCGTTGGTCAGGGTAAGGAAGGATGGAGAAACAGAGGCAGAACTGTGGACAGGAAGGAGATGGCCCAAACCTGCATGAAGACCAGGACATTAATAGGGAGAAATTCAAACTGATGCGCAGAATAGTTTGGAATCTACATATACATGCTATTGGACTTGTGACCTGTTCGCTGTGAGTTCACCTTCCAATCCAGGAGACACCTGGAAGAGTGATTGATGCCATCTCTGACAGAAACAGAGCCATTTCAGAGGGAATGAAAAGCTCGAAACCCAGATGCCAGCAGAGTGGGCACCATAAAGCTCCCAGAAGTTGCTAACTGCCTGGAGTGAAGGCTGTTCACTGATAATTAACTGCCTTTATTTAACTCACTATAAAGTAGCTTGTTAGAGATGAGGTGTTAAAACAGGTTTCTTTGGAACATCATGCTCCTTGGCTCTCAGATTAGCTTGCTGATCTAATTAAAGTGCATATTAAAGATTCAGTCCTTGTCCTTTGTCTTTTGGTTCCAATAATTGTGACAGGCAGAAAGAATCTGGTATTTTCCATCAACACCAACTTATGTATTAAAGACGCCTACTATAATTCTGATATGGACTACAGTGAATCTATACATCAATTTGCAGAAGGTGGGACAATAAATTTCCCTGGATTTCTGTGTTCCTATATTTTTTAAAAAAGCTTTTGTCCATTGGAAACATAATATTTCATAGGAGTCAAATCTGTATCTATTTGTCCAATTAACTGTTCTGATCCAAAATGACAGTAAGGCTTCCACTCTGCTTAAGAAGGCAAATGGTTATATCCTTAATTAAGTGCTGAGGTTAAGCCCTAAGAAGGCAGGAGAGATGAAGAACATCACCCTAGAGCAATACAGTTACTTCAAGGAATGAGGCTCCAGAGAGGTTTATTTGCATACCAAAGAGCTGGACCTGGAGGAGGGGAAAGAACCCACAGCTTCTTATACCTACAAAAGCAGAGAAAGAAATTTTTCTTTACCCCTGCCTAATGTGGATCTGGTCATTTCTGTAGAATAATTCAGCGAGCCATAGAGATAAAAACTATATCCAACGGATACTTGAAGCAGAGTTGGGAGGAGGAAGTGTTCATTATTTATTGTGAGATAATCTGTTTCTGATTCTTAAGACATCATACATGCATTCATAATAAAGTTTGAGTTAATTTTACCTGAATAAAATGAGTTAATAAAATCCCTTTTAAATGAATATTAAGAAAAATCAACAGTGGAATCTGTCATCATTAACATATTGAGTCTTCCAATTCATGAACACGATGTATAGCTCTCCATTTATTGAAGATTTCTCTCAGCAATACCTTATATTCACTGACGAGTAAAACTTCATTTTTATTTATCTAATTATTTTATTTATTTTGATACTATTTTAAGTTATACTGTTTTCTTCATTTCATTTTCAGATTTCTTGTTATTAATACAATTGTTTTTGTATATTAATCTTGTAGCCTACAATCTTGCTAGATTTGTCTGTTATTTCTAACAGTGTGCTTTGTTTTGTTTTTCCTTTGGTGGAATCTTAGGATTTCTTCTACATACAAGATCATATTGCCTGTGTGGTGGAGGATAAGGACAAAAAAGTTGGAAAGGAGGCATCACATGATATGGGGAGCTGGAGATGGGGGTTGAAGTGATTAACAAGGATCATTAAGCTGTTGTAGGGCAGGGAGAGGCAGCTATAGAACTAAAAATCTTTAGGCACCAAGTGCTGACTTAACAGGCCCAGGCCAGAGACAAAGATATGGAGATTGAGGGCCATTGTAGAATCTCCAGTCCCTTTCAAATTCGGTATTTTTACCCAAAATCTACAGCAAACAAACCACTCTATGAAGGACGAGCCCCTCCCAAAGAGAAGACTGTTACCAGTGCAGCAGCCCTTCAGCCCACCTGTTCCTATGCAGGTGATTATTTTTGCCAACTCACTCCCTCTGCAGGCCAGCAGCCTCCTGTCTGCCCCATGACCTGTTCCTGCCTGGACTCCTCTTCAAGGCATAGGCAGCATAGGCAGCATAGGCAGCATAGGCAGCTCTTCTCAATACCACCCACCTGCAATCACGCCAGCCTCTCTCAGCAAACCTGTCCCTTTCGGGGCAGCTCCTTCTGTCTACTTGCGTCTATGCAAGAGTCCTTTTCTGTCCCTTTTATAATAAACCTGCCCTTTTGGAGATACCTAACTTGGAGAAATGTCTGGGAACTTACCAGTGCTGCTGAAAAGGGAGCTCTGGTGAAACCTTTCCCAGAGTGAACCCAAAGACCCCACTCTCCAAACTAAACATCTCCCCCCCCAAAAAAATGACATCAGCCCCGCCCCCACCCCAGAGTCAGTTAATTTCTATCAACATTTTACTTAGTATGTCTTGTTACATTACCCAGAATAATTTGTTGCAATTTGGTTATTTTGGATAATCTATCAGCAACTCAGAATGCTTACTTTACTCCTTTTTTACTTTTTTAGTAACTTGCTTAAGCTGTAGAATCTTTCTCCCTGCAAAGTGTGGTGCTATATTTCCACTCGACTTTTAATACTTATTTTTATTATTTAATTTGGATAGTAGAAGTCACTCCTGTGCCTAATTGCTTAAATTCAGTTTATAACATAGCTCATATTACTGTCATCTTACAATAAAATTAGGAGTTGTGCTCAAAGATCTGAAGCCCATAAAGTATCTACCCATATGCATGGGCAGCAAAGAACATTCAAAACTTCAGTCAGTTTTCAAATGTGCCTTGGTTTCTGCTTCCACTGGCTCACCCCACTGTCTGTGTGCTCACATACAACTGCTTACTGGCGCAGGAAGCTTTCAAACCCTACTACCCTACTACTGCTTTCTTATTTCTAGAGTGTTACTAAATTTCTAGCTAATACATCTTTAGAAACTTAAGACTGTAACAACCTCTACTCCTACAACTAAAGACGAACAAATATTTTTTGTATGTTTTCTACCAAGCTTGATCATTTTGGGTTTTAGTTAATACATATACCTGTGGGTTTTGATCTCACTGTCCCCAAATCAAGTCTACTTTGACAGCAAAGCCTTCTTGTATTTCCAGCCAGGTCCATACTGGTAAAACTGTGGCGGATCCCTCTAACCAAGCTGTGGTAGAAGGGGTGCTGGGGTGGGAGGGTCTCATGCAGAAGGTCTCAGAAGTCCCCTGACTCTACTTTTCTTACCCCAAACTATAGGACTTTTTCAGGAATAAATGCTCCTCAATGATTCTGGCTCATCTCTAGCATCCTGAAGTGGCTGTTTTGAGTCACTGGCCATAGCAAGATGCCATACTCATTAATGGTATATAACTTGGGAGGAAGAAAAAACTGTGTGCTCCAAATACATTGCTTTTATCAAGTGGATGGACCAGATAGTCCTTGAAGTCCCTTCTCAGCTATGATCTCACAATAACTTTTCCCTAATTATAAAGAAAACATGTCACCCTGGTAACTTTGTACCTGAGATTATTTCCAAAAGATCCAGCCTTCCCCTGCCTTCCTGGCCCCAACTCACCAAGAATGATTTTTTTTTTTTTACTTTTTGTTTTATCTCGCTCTATATATATGAACGAATGCAATGTATGGATCAGTTTCCAAACATTACAAATGGAAAATAATGCTCAAATCCCAATAAACTCTCTAAAAGAGACTTCAGAATTAGAAAATACTGTAATATCTCTTGGGAAGAATAGGTTTGAAGTCTATTTTTATAATTTTGGAAAGGTTTAAGCGTATTATATGAATTAGAGAAATCAAGAGTTTTACCTTTGAAGAAAAAATTATTTTAGTTATCTTCAAAGGACTTTTGCATAAGGGTTAGATTATTTCCCTTCTTTCTTTTCTCCATATCACCTTATTTACTGGTGTAGTTTTCCCTAAGTGAAAAAGGTTGCTATAAACATCCAAGACCTGTCATAGTCACAAAGACAAACTGTTTCCCTCATACACCAACAGTTTTAATTACCCTTCCTTGTCTAAGAGGAAAACATTATGAGATAACTTGCCTTTCTAAGTTACCATAACACAACGCATAAGCTTAAAATGGTCAAGGGTTTTAGAGATGGACAAGTACCTACTGACCAGTATTACAAAAAAGGTTTTCACACATTTCTTACTTTTAAAAGTCTATCTTAATACTTTCTTGTGGTCCTCAAGAATGCAAAAACAAACGCTGTCTTTCTTGATAATGTGAACATTTTTCTTTGCTTTGTTCAAGTTAATTTCTAGTGTTGTTTGTCATGCTCAATTTTCTTTACTGCTGTGATAGTGTTGGCTACTGGTCACTAAATAAAGCATGAAAACTATTTTCAATATAAAGGAGGCCACTTAAAATATACATGAAGTGATATATTTCAAATTTCAAAAGCCTTTGAATTTCTTGAAGAATTGAGTATGAGTTTTGAATATTTTTAGTGTAAGCATAGCTGCTATTACTCTTGGAATATAAGAATACCCACCACTGACCTGATTCTTTAAAAACTACTAAAAATAGGATTCCCTTTTCCAACCCCAACTGCATGATGGTGAAATAATCAGCCCCAACTACTCCTGTTAGGAATCATCTCAATGCTTCTCTTCTATAACCTCAGAATATAAGATTATTGAAATAAAGTTTGGTCACTCAGCTCAGCATCAACAAAACGAAAGAAAGCCCAGTAGCTTGCCAAGGCACAGTACAAAAACTGAGGACAGCTTAGAACTATGTGCACTTACAGGCCAAAAAGATAATATTGTCAGTCCTATTTGTAAGTAGCATCTAATCATGTTTTTAATGCCATCAATTTTTTTAACTTAAACAAACAAACAAACAAAATCAACCCTTCCCTGGTCCTATATACAATGATACTGGTTAAACAGCACTTACTGTTCTAGATGTTTCTACTTCTAGATGTTTCTACTTTCCCTCTTCATGTTGCACTGACTGAGGGCCAACCTTCTGGACAAAGAGCTCTATAAAGATGTCCCCTTGGAGTCTATCCACATAGTTCTTAAGACTATTTCCACAGTATATGAAGGGAAAGAACTAGGATTTTCAAGTGAGGAGAAAATTGCCCCCTTTTCCCAAAGGCAGAAGTAAAACCAATTTTCTCACCTGATGGAAGAGAGGACTGTGTGTCACAGGGACTCCGAGCCCACTAAAGCACATTCCGAGGACCATATCATCAGGAGCATCATTGCTGTAGCAGCGACAATTACTGGCCAGAAGTCTCTTGATGGCTTCTCTACTGAAGACCATTCTAGAAGGAGCCAGAGAAAGAAGTTAGAGTAGCTCCTCCAAACAACTAACCTGAATAAGTATGTTTCAGAGGCCACATTTCTGATAAAGACAAAAGATCTTGAGTGTGTCATATTTTAATAGTTATTCTGAGGAAAAAATGTTACTGTGCTTCTTATGAAAACAAAATCACTCATAAGACATGTTTACCTAGCTAGTAGGACATTTTATTCCTTTATATAGCTCATATATCTTGTAAGCTAACACCATGCAGTATTCCTTTTCTAATCACTGAAAAATTAGAATAGCTCTTCAGTTTCAAAAATTTCCCTACCAAAACCTGTGCACATTCCCAGCAGGTAGATGGGACCCCAAATATTATGTATCTCACCCACACAAGTGGTGACTAACAATGAGATCAAATCAAAATGGAAAAAAGTCATCCATTGCCCGAGTGATTCTAATCCACAGAAATTTTGTTAGGTGATTTTGAAAAGAGAAAGAAAAAGAGAGAGAGAGAAAGAAAGAATAGAAAGAGACTGATTTGAATTGCCAAAATTGTAACATTGTTTGACCTGCCATGTGGGTTCATTCTGGTAGACCGTGGGCCAATTCTGTTTTTCAGTGAAGGAAGTCAGAAACTTTAAAACACTATTCCTCAGTCCTCCCAGCCAGTCAAGTCCTAGCTTCGTTTGGATAATAAAGAGAAGCAGCACTGGGGAAGGCCTTATTTTTCCAGTGGTATCTGAAGTGGAGTTAGTTGACCTTGGGCAGCCACAGGCCCCAGCAGAGCCAGAAGAGTAAGGCAGGGCATGTGTTGAGGACCCTCAGCAGCAATGGGTGCTAGTCTTGGGTCTGGCTCAGGTGCAGCATCCCAACCTAGGAGCAACCTGCACAACAAGGCCCCGGAATCAGTATTGGCTTTGCCCCTCCAGTCTCAGAGGCAATAATTGCTTTCTGTGGTTACTGACTACTATACAAAATTACCCAGACCCTTTTATTCCTCTGGTCCATCCAAAACTTTTGTACAGCTTCCTGTGATAAACCTGCTCTTCTAAAAAAATTGGTTGTGTTTTTGGTCTTCATTCTGTTCCTACAGTAGTAATAATTTTTCTCATATCATGAGTAGCCCATAGCTGAAAGTATTAAGGTACTAATAAGATTCATAAGCTTATTTCTAATCAGCAAATACTTTTTTGATGGCAATAGGATCTAAAATGCATCTATATAATTCCAAAAGCTTTGGGAACATAAGTGCACATAGTAAGCCCTCAACAAAAGTCTGTTATACCAAACAAGAGAAAAGAAAACTACTTTTGCAAAGACCTTCTTTCCAAAGATGAGCTCTATGAAAGGGGAAAAGGGCAAAGGGCAAAGAACATGAACATAACCCCAGTTCACAACTGTTGATTCCATACTCAGTGGGGAGCAGTGTGGGATAGCTTAACCCTAGTGACCGAACACTGAGATTGCAACAACTTCAGAGACAGGCTCCCTTCCCTTGCTAAGAGCACTAAAGAATGAAATATGAAATATGACCAGGCAAGCAGAAAAAGAAATGTTTTCTTAAAGCTGATTAAAAAAAAAACTGTATAAGGATGGAAAAAATTCTTATGAATTATATCCAAAAGGGAAATTGCAAGTTTTAAAACTCACCATAAATTGATCTTTTCTTAGCAAGCCTGGTGACTCTGAGCTTCATACTAGGTGGCTGAGTAGGCGTCTGTGCCACTGACTGGCTCCAGGGAATGGGCCAGCGTGAGAGGACGTGTGTCACCACAGACAGACATTTCCCTCAAGATACCTCAGATGCTAAATCAAGGAAAATGTCATCAATATGCCAATTTTATTTAATCAAGCTGTCATCTTGTTCTCTTAAATCCTATTTAAATAAAAATGCTGCATTTCTCTTTTGCCAGCATTTAGTGGAATGAGAAAGGAAAGCCTTTTATTTGGTTTATTAAGCTAATAAACCAATAAAAATTAACTTTATAGGAAGATAAAATATAAGTGGAAAATTGGTATTACCATTTTTTTTTCTAGTTTTGCTTACAGCTTTATTTTAATCACATAAAATCTATGAGAGTCTTTAATAACATTTGCTTTTTAGTGTACTAATGGGGGGTGGGGAGGGAGAGAAGTCTTACAAAATGAATTTACCTCCAAAAATGGAAAAGTACCAGATATACATCTGCTCTGATCACCAAATTTAAATCTTAAAACCACTGAGAGTCGGCCCTCCCTGGTG